TCCGGTTATTTTATTTTCGTGCGACCGAACCATTAGCGTCTTTGAGCTTTAAAAATTGAGCCCGAGAGCTGGCCCGAAAAATCGCACGCATCGAACCAGCCCAATTTGTGATATGATATTTGGGCCCAAACTATGTCCAAATTAGCCCATTTTGTTAGCCCAAACAAACTATTCTATCAGTCCTAATTTCTTCCTCCTTAATATCACAATCAGAAACGATCAGAATGCCGCTCTCACATTAAATCAGACCATAAGCCTTCGTCCTTTTCTTTTCTCTCATCCGGTCGATCGAGTTTGTGAGAAGAAGACCCCAAATCTCATTGCTTCCCCTTCCCCGTTACGTCCTCGTTCCAGCAACCAGCAGAAAGGGAGAGAACGCGAGCAGTAGGTTCTGTTCGTCACCTTCGAGCGACGACTGAACCAGAAAATCCGCCGCCCGCCGTCATCCTCCGCCTGCGACTGCCGCCCCTCCGCGCGAGTCGCCGCAGCGGCCTTTGCCTGCACCTGCTCTGCCGCGAAGCCCCGACGCCGATCTTTTCCTTTCCGCGAAGCTCCGCCGCGCACAGGCCTCCCTCCGATGACCTGCATCTACAAATCCTACGAAGCCCGCTGCTCTTCCACGCCCAAGGCGCCGCCGACGAGCTCTGTGACGCCCCTCCGCGAGCTCCTGTCCGCGAGCCGTCCCTTGCCGTGAAACAGCGGCGCTGCGAGCTTCTCCTCCGCCGCGCCTGCAAGCCGACGCAACTGCTTCCTCCGACGACCTTGTTCCTCGATTTTCGAGCTCCTTCGTTGCAGCAAATCAGTCGTGAGTCCCGCTGCTGCCTCCCCGTGAACAGCCCGCCACCTTCAACTCGTCTCCTCCGCGACTGCAAGCCGCCGGCAAGCACCCGATCGTGAAGCTTCGCCGCCGACGACCACCTGCTCCTCCTCCGCAGCAGCACTTCCGACGGGTCGCCTCGACTATCTCAGCAACCCCGCAATCGAGAAGGACCACTGCTGCTCTTTCCTCGGCGAGCCGCGCGAAGCCGTCGAGCCCCGTCGTGCCGTCCTCTCTCGTTCGAACCTTTCTCGCTCGTTTTCCGAGAATGGTATCGAGTCTCGACTTCTCGTTAAATTTTACGTGATTAATGTTGTGATCGGTTGTGCTTTGTGTGTTCGTTGAATTATTATATACGTGCTTGAATTGTTCATTATGTATATATATTCGTGATTTTATGTGAAACTCGTCGATTCGTGCGAATCGAACGAGAACTGGATATAAGTGATTAGTTGCTGTGGATTTAGGAACTTAGGATTTTTACGAACACAATGGCGTTGACCTTGTGTCGATTGGACGTGTGAATTTGTGGTTATGATTTTTCGAGGATTGTAATTGCTGTTTCGAATGTAAAATTCACCATAAATTGAATAATGGTCCGATTGACTTGACATTTTAGGTGCAGCTGTTTTTTATGAATGTGTAGCTTGTGTAAAATTTTCGTAATTTTTGAAGGTCAGTAACTATTTTTAAAAATTAAATTGATTTCTGCCCAGATTCTCGTCAAATGCATAATTAATTGTGTACTGCTCCTATTTGGCCTATATACGAGTATGTTATGTTCCTAACATGTTTATGTGTTGTGTAAAATTTTTAGAATTTTTGAATTAGGTTTGATAGGGTTAACAATTTATTTTGTGTTTCTGCCAGAATTTGTTTTAATTGTGATAAATTGGTCAGAATCTGAAAAATTGTAATTTTTGGTCGAGATGCTCACTTTGTGATGTTTTACCTGCTGTAAAAATATTGGAATTTTTCGAGATCAGTTAGGTTCAGTTCTGATGGAAATTCGATAATTGGCTGAATATTGTTTTAGTTTTATAAATTCTCATGATGAGTGTTTAAAGCTGATATTTTTACATGTTGTTGTTCATATGCTGGAGTTGCTTAGATAAAAATTTCATGGCCTGAATCGTTCATTATCATGTGTTTCTAATTTAAACTCATTTTTATCGAAAAATTTGTTTGAATTTTATAAAATTGTGTGTAACGAGTTTGGAGCTGAAGCTTGGTGATTTTTCTTAATACTGGGAGGTGAATTTTATGTAAAATTTTCAGAGCCTAACTTGTTGATTTGATATGCCTTCTAATTCAAGTGGGAATTTTGGAAATTGATTTCTATGTTAAAATTTGGTTAAGTGTTGTTGACCGAATTTGTTATGTGTTTGCTTGTGGCTCGTTTGATATTCTTTTATTTGATATTGCGTGGAATCGAATATGTGGTTTGATCGAGTCTAAGTCCTAGTGTTCCCATATCCACAGAACTTCACGAACCACTTGGTCGAATCGAGTTCGACTAAGTCAAATTGTGAATTTTCTACTTAGGTCTAGATTAAAGTGTTGACTTTAGTATCTGGACTTAATGTAGGTGTCTAGAGGTGTTGACCTCGTCTTACTTTCGAGATTCGTGATTTGATTTGTTGCTGCATCCAGGTGGGTACATTTATGATGTATTCCATATTTATCGCACTTATTATTTCGTGTAATGTTTCTTTTGAAAATTTTTGTATGCATGAGAACTCTAGTCTAAGTGTCCCGAACGCTAGTGCCTTGATGAATGCGAAAACAGTAGGAAATCGCCTGCCCATTGTATCCGGGAGGGACGCCCCATGCCGTCGTATCCGGAAGGGGAAAAACATCTTTGCTGTCTCCTGGAAAGGATCCTGCGAACCGTTGTACCCGGGGGTGGGAATGTTTCCAGTTACAGCCATGCCGTTGTATCCGGAAGGTTGTTGTATGTACATAGGAGGTTTGCGATAGGGCTGGGTAGGGGGTTTAGGCTATGAATGTTGTGCATACTGGTACTGATACTGTTTACTGTGATACTGTTTTTAAAATAATTATACGGGATAACTGTGCGATAATGGTGAGCTTGTTGGTTGCTCACCCCCACTATTTTCTTGTTGTTTTCTCTCTTCCTTTGATTTAGGTTGAGACGAGCTGGAGGCGGTGGCGTAGGACGAGCGAGATGGTGGTCATTATGTGTTGAAATCTTATGCTTCCGCATGAACTTGTATTTATTTATATGCTATCGCACTTTGGATTATTTTATTTCTTCATTTTCGAACTATGTTGAATTTCGTTGGAACCTTGATTTCATGCTAGACATTTGGGAATGATTTGGAAATTTATGATTTATGAGATTGTCAATTTGATAGTTCGAGCATGTGTAGGTTCATTGGATTGTTTGATTGGGTGTGTTTATTTGTTGTGGTTAATAAGTAGCGCCCGTTTCTCGATAAATGTTTTAACTTGGATTTAAAAAAAAAAAATAACTCTAATTTTATTAAATAAATTCGGTAAATTCTTTAAAATAAACGGGGCGTTACAGAGGTAGATCAGATCGCATTTAATGTTGAGCAGTTTCATTAAAGCGGTCTGTATTGCAATGAGGGGACAACAATGATTACTTTTTGTTACGTGGCCCAATCAGGAATGTGCTTTGTCACCTGCTTTGGGATCCAGTCACCTCGGACCTCGGTTTAAGTGGATAACCTTCAGGGAAGAATATTTGCGAAGTCAGTTTTTTGTCTTTTATGCGAAGTCGGTTTACCGCCTTGAGTAGGTCGGTTGTCATCTATATGTGCGAGGTCGTTAATTTGTCTTTTTGCACCGAGGTGGGCTAAGTTTGTTCCAGAAGTTAAGCTGGAGAAAGTTCGTGAAACCATAATCATTAAATTTTCTTTTAATCTTGATAAATCAAGTCGGTTGTCAACAATATTTTTAAAACAAGAAAAATTCAATTGTAGATCAAGTATTACTAAGACAGACATTATCCAAGAGTTCACATCCCATAATTCCAAATACAAATCCCATAATTCACAAACCACAATTTTATACGATATATTTCAAATTTAGTTGTGAATTTTTCATCAATACATGTGCAATACCAAAAAGCATTGAACCTTTGCCGTATTCGAGCAATGGGTGTCGACGTGTCGTAGTATTATTATAAAATTGATAGATATTATGGTATAAATATCTATCAATTTATTTTTATTTGAAAACATATCATTTTAAATAAATATTTCTCTTCAAATTTTGTGAAAGATTTTCTTCATAAAAGCGGTTTACAAACATTCTACAAAATTTGACATGTTGGTAACCAAAATTTATGATAGGAAAAGTATATTAATTTAATTTCTTTTCAAACTAATGTCTCACATGCAGTAAGAAAATAAAATAATTATTTTTTCAATCATTTAATTATATTAACATTCAATATTGGAGGATTTTTGTAATTCAATTTTAAATATAATATATGATAGGTTATGAACATAGACCTAATGTAAATGGATTTTATTTGCAATTCAACTTTAAATACAAATATGTACAAAGATGAAAAGAAAGCATAAGATGAAATATTATATTTATATGAATTAAAATCGTTCTTGTTCGGTTTTCGGTTTGGTATGATTTTTTTCGCTTCGGTTCGGTTCTCGGTTAAGATATTTTATGAATCTCCAGAACCGTACTAGATAATTTTTTGGTATGGTTCGGTTCGGATAAAGTCAAACAGTCGACGGATATTTTTTGGTTCGAAGTGAATTCGGATCGATTTTTAAAACAATTCGGTAATCTCCGAGTTTCGTGCTCAGCCCTACTAAAAAGGAGAGAGTCTAAGGCTATGTTTGGTAAAACTAGCTGATAGCTGATAAGCTAGCTTATAACTTATTAGTAATTTTCAAGCTTATATCTTATTGCTTATGACTTATAACTGATAAGCTAGCTTATATGAAAAAAGTGTTTGGTAAAATTAGCTGATAAGCTAGCTGGAATAAAAATTTCAACGAGCTTATTTGAAAAGCTATCAAAGGAAGCTTATCAAATAAGCTCGAGCTTTTTAAATAAACTCGTCCTACCAATACAAGTAGTTTATAAACTAATCAAATAAGCTATAAGCTAGCTTATTGGTCTACCAAATATAACCTAACTCCTCCAAAATGAATAGGTGTGAGAGATTGAGAGGAGGAGGCAGGACAAATCAGAAGAATGGTCGTGAGAAAAAATAAAAGAAAAATCTAAAAATAGTCAAGAAACCTGTGTGGCCGGGCGAGGGAAAATCATTCACACCGCCACGAAATCTAAGGCCGTGGCGGTATTTATGGAACGCCGCCCTCTATTGTGCAAGAGCTCGATAGCCAGCGTCCTCTCGTCATCAACCCTTCTCATTCTCTCTTCTGTGAATACACAGGTACACGGTCACTGTGTGTGTTTTCATCTGTGTATGTGTGTGTGCTGCATGGTATTGTTGACGAACATGTTTGTAGCGAAATACAGGGAGAGAAGAAGGCCTGTCGACTGGATTGGAAGAGGAGCGAGAGCGGCTATTGAGAGGTGGAGTCAGAGATATGGGGATCCAGGAAGGAAACGACGTCGTTGTTGGGTCGGGTTCCAACGGAAAGGTTCTTCTTGATGATGTCTCCGTTGTAATTCCGGAGACCGCCCACCAGATTAGTCATGGTATTATTCATTATTTTTATATACATTTATTAATTTATTTTGCTGGTTTGGACTTAGGTTTGTGCTTTGTGTTGTATGCTTGGGGTTTTTATGTTTCTTATGGAGTTCTTAATGTGTTTTAGGTTTTTGACAGGGATGTTTCTTTGCGCGCGTGTATGTGTGTGTGTTTGTATGCATTGTGATTGGATTGATCTTTTTGTGTCAGTCGGATGTTAAAGAGTCCATTTTCATGCTGATGGTGTATTTGCAGGTTTACATTTTCTGAAAAAAGGCAAAATAAAGGAAAAAAAAGGATTTATTTTTCTTTTGTTTGGACTACTGTTATACGAGTAAATGAGTTTCTTCCAGAATATACTTTGTTCTGTAGTCTTTCAATTACCATATAGTTTATAGTTTCAAGGCTATAGGTCATCGGTTGTGACGTTCACGAACGGTCAATGAACTTTTTTTTTTGGAAGGTCAAGTTCCTGATTTAGTTCTTTACAACATTTGACAAATTCTAGTTCTCAGGTGTGAATATCATCCTTTTCTCAGGTTTCAGTGAATTGTGGATTTTGTCTTAGTGAAACCTTTTATTCCCTGTAGTAGTATCTAAATGTTAAAACTCATTTCTGATAGTTTGAGCCACAGTGGAGTTCCGTATATCTGCCTTTTGTTTTCTTTCTCCTGTTTTATNTTTTTTAAATAATATTTTTTTTACATGTTATGTAAATGTAGATTCGTGGTTTCAAGTGGGATTTGTTCTCACAACCGGGATTAACAGTGCCTATGTGCTGGGGTATTCGGGTACTATCATGGTTCCATTGGGCTGGATAGGTGGTGTTGTTGGACTGATTCTAGCAACTATGATATCCTTGTATGCAAACTCTCTGGTTGCCAAGCTTCACGAATTCGGAGGAAAGAGACATATCAGATACCGAGACCTTGCCGGATTCATATATGGTAAGAAATATGAGGGAAGTGGTGAACGATGTGAAAAGATGTCGGCTTGTATTTGTTAATTGGATGATTTTAATCTCCTTCTCTTTGGGATTAGAAATTCCGATTTTTTGTTTTATTTAGTGAGGCTTTGATGATGCAGGTGACAAAGCTTATTCTCTTACATGGGCTCTCCAATATGCAAATCTCTTTATGATCAATGTTGGATATATTATCTTAGCCGGAAGTGCACTTAAGGTAACTTAATTTTGTTCTCCTTGCGTATGTGAGAAACTCCTTCATTGCTTGTACTGGAAACCCTTTTGGTATTATTAACTTTTCTCTTACTCCCACCATATATGGAACATTATGTAGTTATCCGTGATTTCTTCCTTCTTTTCTCTCATATTGTTCTGTTTTTGAAAAGTGACTATGATACCAACTATGAAAAACTTTTATCTGTCTTGGTATGCTGATGATATCAAATAAGTCGGAAAAGAAAACCCAGAAGGCTTCAGTTGATTGTTGTTTCTTGTTTTTTGATTCTTTCGACATTTTTTTCAGGCTTCCTATGTCCTTTTCAGAGATGATGATATCGCGAAGCTTCCTTACTTTATAGCCATAGCTGGGCTGGTTTGTTCATTATTTGCCATTGCTACACCCCATTTGTCTGCATTGGGTGTTTGGCTGGGATTTTCAACATTTTGTAGTCTGGTATACATTGTTGTGGGATTTGTCCTGGCTCTTAAAGACGGTAAGCAGACTCTTCTCTGTTGTCTAACTACAAATCATGTGTAATTTTAACCTTAGGTTTAGAACTTTCTTGGGCCTCTTTTTTGGATCATTGCCCCTTAATAACCAGATCTCCTCCCATCAAATGCAACCTTGTAGATTTCACTGCATATGAAGTTTGGCTTATCTTCTGTCTGATATAAATATAATTTGCCTTTCCAAAGGTTCGAATTTAGGTGGATGCTAATTTTTGTTAATATCTTCTTTCTAAGCTAATTGTTTTTATTAAAACCTTTCTAAAGGAACTGTGCAAGTTTGAGTTCATATAACTCAAATCCTGTTTCAGCGAAAAATGGAACTGGTACCAGCTTCTTGTAACAGAAGATTGAGTAAATATGACATGATAATCTACATTTTTCTCATATGGCCTTCTGTTAATGTTTTACTAAGTGATTCATGCATTTCTCACAGGTATGGAAGCTCCTCCAAGAGATTACACCATTCAAGGAACATCAGGGAGCAAGATTTTTACAACTATTGGGGCAGCAGCTAATCTTGTTTTTGCCTTCAATACTGGAATGCTTCCAGAAATACAGGTGAGTAGGAATTGTAAATTACTTACTATATATAAACTAGGGAGTTGCACGTGCGACGCACGTAATTGTTATTATTTTTTTATGATTTAAAAGTCCAATTTTTATTGAATTTATGTTTATAATTTGAAAATTTTCATTAGCTTAATAAAAAAGAAAATGCATATACAATAAACTATATAAATGTATTGGCACTGAAACATAATCTTTAAAAGATTTTGTATAATTTGACATCAGCTTAGAAGCTAAGCCTACATTTTGTTATATTTTAGTAAATATAGAGGATACAACTTTTGTTACCTCATTCAACTTTTCAAAAATGTTAGCGTAAATATTGTAGTTATCCAATTGTTGATGGGTTTCAAAGCACGTTATGAGTATTATTAATTGCATTAATCTCAAGAGGACGTTAGCCACATGCATTTTCCTTTCCTTTTTCGCTTCCTATAAAGCCTGTGACCGTGATGCATCAACAATGCTTCTGAAGTTGAGACTAACCGATTTTTCCTGTGTGATATTTTATTCGAATCTTTTCTATATTCTGAAACAGTCAATAGGAGTTACTTTTAATCAGTCTGTTCGATACAACTATAACTGCTTCCAAGAATGAGAGTTGATTGTCATTTATTTGCTTGGCAGGCAACAGTGAGGCAACCAGTTGTTAAGAACATGATGAAAGCTCTGTACTTCCAATTTACAGTCGGAGTATTGCCTATGTTTGCCGTTACGTTTATCGGTTACTGGGCTTATGGATCTAGCACATCGGCCTACCTGCTGAACAATGTTAATGGCCCTGTCTGGTTGAAGACTGTTGCTAATATTTCAGCTTTCCTGCAGACAGTCATTGCTTTGCATGTAAGGATCATTCGTTTTCCTCAATTTTTATTTTTAATTTTTTGTTGTTCCCACTGTCGTAAATCTGTTCAATGATTTTTGAGAAACTACTTCAGTAGATTGTTATGCAAGGGTTGCTTGCTAACAAGTGAGTTGCAATTTTTTTATATAAAAATATGAGGCTTAAAGTGAGTGTGTAAAAGAATAAACAAAAATTACTATTCAACTTTTAGGGAGGACCATTTCGTGTCATCCTTGCGCAGAGCCATGCTAACTTTCAGGGAGGATGTTACACGAGTGTACCCCCAATACTTCAGAAACTATCTCTGTATTGTCAAATGACAACATTTACTTTTAATTCTGCTTTAATATGTAAATGGCTCTGTTTAACATTCTTGAGCTCGAAATACATTTTTAGGTTGGCAACAGTTTCAGCTTTAACACACTTCTAGTGCTCTGCATTTATTATTATTATTATTATTATTATTATTATTATTATTATTATTATTATTATTATTATTATTATTATTCTTACTACTATCATCATCATCATCATCATCATTACTATTATTATTTGCTTTTCCTTTTAGATATTTGCAAGTCCAATGTACGAGTACCTAGACACCAAATATGGAATTGAAGGAAGCGCTTTAGCTGTGCGCAATCTATCCTTCCGGCTTGTTGTGAGAGGTGGATATATTGGCCTAACAACATTTGTGTCGGCTCTTTTGCCGTTTTTGGGTGATTTCATGAGCCTAACGGGTGCTGTTAGCACATTCCCTCTTACCTTCATCCTTGCCAATCACATGTACCTCGTGGCCAAGAAGCACAACCTCACTCCCCTCCAGAAGAATTGGCATTGGCTCAATGTTGTTTTCTTCAGTTGCCTTTCTTTTGCGGCCGTAATTGCTGCCTTTAGGCTGATTATCGTGGATTCCAGTAATTATCACATTTTTGCNCGTATGTATCCAAGGGAGGGATCCCACATTTTCTGTCCTTCGAAGCCATCATAACGACTCTTTGAGAATTTAAAAAAGTTGTTTTTGGTTTTTTTTTCCTTATATCTTTTCCTTTGGTTCTATAGATTTTCTATATTTTTTCTTTTCCCTTTCTTGTCAATCCTAGTTAGAGTACAAACATAATAAGTGTCATGCTTCTATTGTACTTGAACATTTATCTTCATCTAATGAGACTTTCCTATCGTTTTGAAAAAAAAATAAAAAAATGAATGTCCTTTGGATCATCTATTGCAAGACTAATTTTGCTATGTAAATTACTGGAATATGTTACGATGAAATTGGCTCGTGCATTTGCAATTTATTATATTTACCCTTGTGCTTGAGTTGTTTTGTCGAGTAGGTTAGAGGTTATGATGTACAAGATGATTATGATGTACAAGATGGTCGCCATTATCAATAAAAATGCCCTACAAAGAATTATCATTGCTGAGGGCAGCCATATTTCAATTAAGTCTAGTCTAAGGATGTAACATAATTGATGAACAGACCTTAACATGGCATTGCTCGCATTTCTACGTACATTTGTATTGTTGGTATATTTAATTTCAACAATATAACGAACTTGAATGGCTTGGTAAATCGGCTTCATAATATTAGTATAGCTTCACTAGTCCTTTAATTTGTTTGAGCATAAAATTAGTTTTTAACATTTTATTTCATTCAAACATATTTGCACCTTTGTTAATATCCAATGTGATTGCATGAATTAATTGTATCTTATATAGTAAAATGAGCTCGGTTCTTACCCGGAGTTCCTGTAAGCGGTTCAAGGACTGGCCAGGTCGGATTGGACCGGGAACAAGTACTTGAACCATAGAGACCGGATATGAGTTCGAGGTCGGTGCGGCCTATCGCTATACGGATCAAGCTAGTTAAGACTTGCTATATGGGAAACGAGCTGGACCTTGCTGTAGGTAACAAGCCGAAGAAGCGTATTGAACTGATTTTGTATGAAGAGTTGGTTAATGGAAGGATAATGAGGATCGGGGGACGATATATTTGGAGGAGATTAAGTTTACTTTCACTAATAGAAGTCTTGAATGATTTTATACATGGTAGATAATATAGTTTGATATGAGTCGAACAGAAAGATCATTATCGGTGCCGTGTAGAATATAAATATTTGTCCAACAGTCCAGACAGAATTGAACTAACTATCGTGAAAAATTTTAGTGTGATTTTCGAGTTAATTGATCTTTGACTAAATTATTACATTAGTACATCTCGAATGTACTGGACGGACCTACAACAAGATAAGATTATGTTATTGAAGTGAGTAAGATTTCACTCGGGCTCCTTCGACTCGGTCGGCCTCTGTACCTGCAAGAACCCAATGCCGGGAGGGGTCCCGGCGTCGGGCCTCCGACGCTCAAGTCAATATCACTCCAAATCCCAAGAGTATAATTATGAATGTAGAGAGAGTGAGAGAATGGGATGCCTTAGCCCCCTTTTATAGGGGGAGTGTACCTTATGGCCCAAGTTGGGCTTACCCAATAGCCTCATGTCACGTGTTCTAGCCACGTGTAGGCTTATTCTTCAATATATTCCCTTTTTATCCATTAAAACCGGTCCAGTATAATATCCTATATCATCTAGTCCCCCCCACTCTGTTCGAGTCTGAATGACTCGATCTAAGAGTGAAATTCCTCTTCGGGCTGGTTCTGTTAACCTGCCATTAAGCTTATAATTTGAATAAATTCTCGACCACCAAATAGTCACCAAACCTCCAAATGAGCATCGGGACCCCCAATGAACACCGAATGACCACTAAGGTCAAAAACTAAAAGACCCGCCACTAAGGTCGAATACCGAAAGCTGATCGACCACTAAGGTCGAAAACCGAGTGATCCACCACTGGGGTCGAATACCGAAAGCTGATTGACCACCGAGGTCGAAAACCGAGTGACCCACCACTGGGGTCGAATATCGAAAGCTGATCGACCACCGAGGTCAAAAACCGAGTGACCCGCCACTGAGGTCGAATATCGAAAGCTGATCGACCACTGAGGTCGAAAACCGAGTGACCCACCACTGGGGTCGAATACCGAAAGCTGATCGACCACCGAGGTCGAAAACTGAGTGACCCACCACTGGGGTCGAATATCGAAAGCTGATCGACCACCGAGGTCAAAAACCGAGTGACCCGCCACTGAGGTCGAATATCGAAAGCTGATCGACCACTGAGGTCGAAAACCGAGTGACCCACCACTGGGGTCGAATACCGAAAGCTGATCGACCACCGAGGTCGAAAACTGAGTGACCCGCCACTGAGGTCGAATATCGAAAGCTGGTCGACCACTGAGGTCGAAAACCGAGTGACCCGCCACTGAGGTTGAATATGGAAAGCTGATCGACCACTGAGGTCGAAAACCGAGTGACCCACCACTGGGGTCGAATACCGAAAGCTGATCGACCACCGAGGTCGAAAACTGAGTGACCCACCACTAGGGTCGAATATCGAAAGCTGATCGACCACCGAGGTCGAAAATCGAGAGACCCGCCGATGAGGTCGAAAAAGAAGAACTGAATGACCGCTCCCCAAAATCTTGAATTTGAAAATTTGAACTTATGTATGTTGTATTTCGATCACCATGTTCGAACTCTCTTAGACCACCTCGTCCTATCGTCCCCCAGTTCAAAATTTAAAATTCAAGCATGTTGTAAATATTTCCTCAAAATCCGAATGACCTTCGTGAACTACTCTGAATGAACTCCCTCGACATGCCACCAAGGTCGAAAAATAAGTTCGACGAAACCGAGAATCAAATAAAGATAATCGACCTACCACTGAGGTCTGCTCGAGCTATCCGTAATGAACTCCATCTCTCTTTTTTTGAAGTCGAAAAATAAATTCGACGAAATCGAGAATCAAATAAAGATAATCGACCTACCACTGAGGTTTGCTCGAGCTATCCGTAATGAACTCCATCTCCCTTTTTTTGAAGTCGAAAAATAAATTCGACGAAATCGAGAATCAAATAAAGATAATCGACCTGCCACCGAGGTCTGCTCGAGCTATCCGTGTCTTTACCGTCCCAACGCTAGGAACGACCACCCAGCCCGGAGGCCTTAATCATGGTGGATTTTGGTCTTTGAACACATGCCCACCCTCAAAGGAGTGGTCGTTACATGTGACCACCCAGTCCGGAGGCCTTAGTCATGGTGGATTTTTTTTCTTCGAACACATGTCCACCCTCGAAGGAGTGGTCGTTACATGTGACCACCCAGCCCGGAGGCCTTAGTCATGGTGGATTTTGGTCTTCGAACACATGTCCACCCTCAAAGGAGTGGTCGTTACATGTGACCACCCAGCCCGGAGGCCTTAGTCATGGTGGATTTTTTTCTTCGAACTGCTCGAACACTTCGACCTACCACTGAGGTCGACAAGGAAACACACCAAAGACCACGAGACAGAATAGTAATTGATCATTTTCGTTAGTCTCATCCAATGCATAGTTATATCGAACAAGATATAAAAATAAAAAGAATCAAGCATTTTTTCGACCTCCCTTTCATGTCTGTACACGACGACCTAAGTTGTTGTTTGCTCCATGCTTCTCACTCCCCACCATAGCTAATATTCAGGTCACCTGCTCATGCATTTTCCTCGAATAATTCAACAGATTCCATTAGTTGCATTTTATCCATATAATCTAATTTGCAATCCCGATAGCAATAATAACAAAAGACGAATGAATCAAAGCAATCATATTGGTCCATATGCTTTTATACCACCACAATCTACATGCAAGTCTCTTTACCACGATATGAAATCGCATAAACACCCATTCAAATGTATAGTCGACCAGAATTTCGCATAAACACCCATTCAAATGTATAGTCGACCAGAATTTCGCATAAACACCCATTCAAATGTATAGTCGACCAGAATTTTGCAAAACCATGAATTCAACAAACAATTACAATAAACCATACTCATGCAGGTACAAACAATCATCAAACGAATGCACAAAAAAAAAATTCAAATGAGTCACTCCCAATACCGAGCTCCTTAGTCATGACGACTCGAGACTGGCCAGCCCGGAGGCCTTAGTCGTGCCAGGTTTTGTTAGTCACCCAAGTAATAATTCCAGACATATCCACATACACCACAATTTCAGCGACATTTCACCCAAAATATTCAAACAATGAACATTTTTCCCGAAAAAGAATGCTAAGAGACTCCATATGTCACAAAATAGTGTCAGTCGATCTTGACCATTGACAAGAGTTGAGATTAATTTTATACCTGAAGGTCGAAAATGCCACTCCCAACTATCCTACCTCTCCAAAAGAGAATGAATTCAGCCTCTGAAATTGCCACCTGCGATCGGCACCATCCAGACTCGTCCCTCCTTATCGCCCTGCTTTGATGGATCCATGCTCGCTCATTTTGTCCTCGAAACTCTACAACTTGTCCACCATAGCTTGTCGAGACTCGGGTTATTTCGATGTTTCCTCGACAAGAATTCCAAGAGATATCGTTATCCATATTATATTCACGTCATCCATTTTGTAATTCACCATGCAAGAAAAATAAGAGATCAAATACAACCATCACTATCTCCTCGATTTAAGATATGCTCGAGCAATGACATGCTTAACAATTGCGAATAATAAATTCAAGCAAAATATCACATTTTCACATAAAAATCCAAATGAGAGACTCTGAATATATCAAGATATCAAATCATATCATCCTATTCATCTCCTCGAGCCCACCGATAAATGCACCAAGCACACGATAAAACAGTCGCTAAATATCTCCAACTCGACATTACGACCCGCATTTATTTCCAATCAAATAATTTTTCCACAAATAAATCAAATATCACCACAGATAAATCGAATATCACCACGAGTAAATCAAATAATTTCACAATCGAATCCAATACCACGAACAAATCAAATATTATCCACGAATGAATCAAATAATATCTCCACGAATAAGTCGAACAATATCTCCACGAGCAAATCAAATATCTCCAGGAATA